CAATGTAAGCTAGAATTTGCTATTTCTCTAAAATTTTTTTTGATAATATTGTTGTCAACAGTAGGTAGTATAGAAGTAGAAGTATTACACTTTCTTTTTTTATTTTGTTCATTTATCAGACTACAGTTTTTTATATAAATGTATATAAGTCTTTTTTTTTTCTTAAAAATTTGTTATATACTTTTGTTATTTTTGTTGTTTTTGTCATTGCTGATTTAGTCAGCAACAAAGTTAGAAAAGAAACTAAAAAACAGAAAATTATTTTTTTGTTCTGTTTAATTTTAATAAGCTTTTTCTGTTGCTATGTTGCTTTGTAATAATTATATAGTTATAGTATATTTATGCTATTTTTTAATTCTTGTAACTTTTTGAATTGTTTGTTTTGTTTATTTATAAAATTGGAATTTATAAGAAAGAATTATTTTTTTTAACAAAAAAAATAGTTAAAAAATATTAAACCAAATTTTAAACTAATTAAACAAATGATTAATAATCTAAAAGAATTTGAGAATACTAAAAATTTAAAAAATATGAACAGAAAAGAATAAAAATATATTTTATTGAAAATAATATAATATAGTCTTTTTTTATTTTTTTGTGATTACAATTAGGGCAGTGATATTTATTATGTAATATTATTTTACTATAGAGGTACCCCTCTCTCTTCCATGTAAGTCAATTCTGATTAGCTAATTTAAAAAAATATTTATAAGAAATATTATATTTATAATACCGTGTTGTATATCACACCATATCACGTGACCATAATTTTAGTATATATACAATTATCTCTGCACATTTGATTCTTATATAAATAGCAGTTAACTGATTTTTTACATTATCTTGAAAAGGCGTTTGGTGGTTCTTGTCACTTCAAAAAGGTGTTGAGTTGCTTTTGCCGCTTCAAAAAAAAGTGTTGTGTAGTTCTTGTCACTTTAATTAAGGTGTTGAGTAGTTATATTTCGTTAATCAAGTTGTTGGTAGCTCATCTCTTTTGATTAAGAGTGTTGTTTCTTTAAGCAAAATGTTGGTCTTTACTTAGCATTTGGTGGTTCTTGTCACTTTAATTAAGTGTTAGGTTGCTTATCTTCCTTTGACCAAGTCATTGGTGGCTTATCTCTTTTGATCAAAAGTGTTGTCTCTTTTTAAGCAAGATGGTTAGTCTTACTCAAAGGTGTCATCTCTCTTTAAGGTGTTGGGTGGCTCTTTTCTTTCTTTTCCTCTTAATAATAAGGTGCCAAGTATTTCTTTTATCAGGATATCAGGTGGTTCTGGTTGTAATAAAAGGGAATAAAAAATATTCACTCTAATTGAAGAATATTTGAGTAGCTTTTTTTGATCTTAATTATCTTTGGCTCTTTCTTCTAGTCTGTTTTCACTTGTCAAATAGCTCTTGCTATTGTAATAGTGGTATAAATATTACAATTATATTAGTTGAATAGTGGTTATGATCAACTTTCTGAACACTTACCTACTTTACTTTTAGGTGTTAGAAGTTTTTTTTGGCCTTAATTATCTTTGGCTTCTTTTTTCTGGTCTGTTTTTCGCTTGTTGAGTGGTTCTTGCCATCGTAATAGTGGTATGAATATTACACAATTATGTTAGTTGAATAGTGGTTATAATAATTTTCTGAACACTAACAATTTTTTATTGCCTTAATTATCTTTAGCTTATTTTTTTGATCTATTTTTTGTTTGTCAGGTGGTGGTTGTCATCGTAATAGTGGTATGAATATTACAATTTTGTTAGTTGAGTGGTAGTAGTTGTGATCAACTTTCTAGACATTTACCTACTTTACTTTTAGGTGTTAATATTTTTTTTCAGCCTTAATTATCTTTGGCTTCTTTTTCTAGTCTGTTTTTGCTTGTTGAATAGTTCTTGTCATCGTAATAGTGGTATGAATCTTGCAATTATATTAGCTGAGTAGGATTATGATCAATTTATATACACTTACCTACTTTACTTTTTAGGTGTCAGCAATTTTTTTCGGCCTTAATTATCTTTGGCTCATTATTCTGGCCTATTTTTTGTTTGTTTGGTAGATTCTGCCATCGTAATAGTAGTATGAATATTTACAATTATATTAGTTGAATAGTGGTTATGATCAACTTTCTAAACACTTATCTACTTTATTTTTTAGGTGTTAACAATTTTTTTCAGCTTTAACTCTCTTTTGCTCCTCCAGGTTCTCTGTTTTACTTCAGTACTTCTTTGATCTTGTTGGATTTTAATAACAATTATAGATCTTACCTCTAATCAAGAACAACTCTTGGATCTTACCTCTGATCAAGAACAACTCTTGGACCTTACCTTTAATCAAGAACAACTCTTGGGGCCTCAGGACTCAGATTTGGATTCCTCCATTGCACCTCAAAACTTAGATTTGGATTTTTCTGTTGCGCCTCAGGACTCAGATTTGGATTCCTTTGTTGTGCCTCAAGAATTAACAGAAATGTTAGATAATGAAATCTATAAAGGACAGAATTTGGTTGGGATCTATAGTATATTACCTAATATTACTAAAAAAATTGTATTCACTATTAATGATACTTTCCCTAACTGGTATATTGCTGAGCATTATGTTACTCAATATGGCCA